ACCTCTTGCCAAAACTCTCGCATTTACTTCTCCTACAACCCCGTTTATAAATATATTGAACAACCATGGTGACATCACACTTCCTTGTCTAAGGCCTACTTTTACTGGCAAATAATCTCCCTCTTTCCTACATACTCTAAATTGAGCCTCACTATCCTCGTAAAAACTCTTCACTGCTTTCAGTAACCTACCTCCTATACCATACACCTGCAACATCTGCGACATTGCCCCCCTATCCACCCTGTCATACGCCTTTTCCAAATCCATAAATGCCACAAAAACCTCTTTAGCCTTATCCAAATACTGTTCACTTCAATGTTTCACTGTAAACACCTGGTCCACACACCCCCTACCTTTCCTAAAGCCTCCTTGTTCATCTGCTGTCCTGCTCTCCGTCTTACTCTTGATTCTTTCAATAATAACTCTACCATACACTTTACCAGGTGTACTCAGCAGACTTATTCCCCTATAATTTTTGCACTCTTTTGTCCCCTTTGCCTTTATACAAAGGAACTATGCACGCTCTCTGCAAATCCGTAGGTACCTTACCCTCTTCCATACATTTATTAAATAATAGCACCACCCACTCCAAAACCTGCTTTTAATATTTCTGTCTTTATCCCATCAATCCCAGCTGCCGTACCCTCTTTCATTTTACCCACTGTCTCACGAACTTCCCCCACACTCACAACTGACTCTTCCTCACTCCTACAAGATGTTATTCCTCCTTGCAATATACACGAAATCACAGCTTCCCTATCTTCATCAACATTTAAAATTCCTCAAAATATTCCCTCCATCTTCCCAATACCTCTAACTCTCCATTCAGTAACTCTCCTCTCCTATTTTTAACTGTCAAATCCATTTGTTCTTTAGGCTTCCTCAACTGATTAATCTCATTCCAAAACGTTTTCTTATTTGCAACAAAATTTGTTGATAACATCTCACCCACTCATTTGCTCTCTTTTTACATTGCTTCACTATTCCTTAATCTCTCTTTTTCTCTCCATATACTCTTCCCTCCTTGTATCACTTCTACTTTGTAAAAACCTCTCACATGCTTTTTCTCTCTTACTACTCTCTCTACATCATTCCACCAATCGCTCCTCTTCCCTCCTGCACCCACTTTCCTGTAACCACAAACTTCTGCTGAACACTCTAACACTACATTTTTAAACCTACCCCATACATCTTCGACCACCATTGCCTGTACTCTCACTAGCCCATCTATCCTCCAATAGTTATTTATATCTTACCCTAACGTGCCTCCTTTTAGTTTATAAACCTTTACCTCTTACCTGATGCTTCTGTTCTCCTTGTATCCTATCTACCTTTTCCTCCTCTTTTAGTTTATAAACCTTCACCTCTCTCTTCCCTGATGCTTCTGTTCTCCTTGTATCCCATCTACCGTTTACTCTCACTGTGGCTACAACTAAAAAGTGATCTGATATATCTGTGGCTCCTCTATAAACATGTACATCCTGAAGTCTACTCAACAGTCTTTTATCTACCAATACATAATCCAACAAACTACTGTCATTACGCCCTACATCATATCTTGTATACTTATTTATCCTCATTTTCTTATATATATATGTCGTGCCGAATAGGCAGAACTTGCGATCTTGGCTTAAATAGCAACGCTCATCTTGCCATATAGGACCAGCGAAAATTTGTGTATGCAATAATTTCGCCAAAATCATTGTGAAACTAACGAAAAAAATATATTTCACTGTATTTATTTAGTATTAAATTATTGTAAACAAATCTAAAATATATTCAGTTGGGTTAGGCTATAATAAATTGTTCTTAAATAAGGTTAGGTAAGTTTCTAAGATTCTTTGGTGCCAAATTATAAATTTTTACATTAACATTAATGAAAAAAATATATCTTTAAACGTATAAGAGCAAAATTTTAGAAAGGACTTAATTTTTTCAAACGAGTTCTTGCTAACTGACCAGTTTTACATATTCGGCACGCTCATATATATAATTATAGTAATAATATATATTATATTCACAAGTCGGCCGTCACCCACTCGAGGCATGGGTGACCCAAACAGAAGAAAACCCCAAAACGAAATCTTTCATTATCATTCAACACTTTCACCTCACTCATACATAATCACTGTTTTTGCAGAGGTGCTCAGATACAACATTTTAGAAGCATATATAAAGATAAAATATAAAAAGTGCCCTGAAACATTATATTAAACTCCATATAGAATATATCAGGGCCCCAATTATATATATACCGTCCTATTACACATCGCTCCAAACTGCTAGTATCCCAAATCCCTCCTTTAAAGTGCAGGCATTGTTCTTCCCATTTCCAGAACTCAAGTCCGGCTATATAAAAATAACCGGTTTCCCTGAATCCCTTCACTATTACCCTGCTCACACTCCAACAGCTCGTCAAGTCCCAATAACCATTCGTCTCCATTCACTCCTATCTAACACGCTCATTCACGCTTGCTGGAAGCTTCAAGCCCCTCGCCCACAAAACAACCTTTACCCCCTCCCTCCAACCTTTTCGAGGGCGACCCCTACCCCGCCTTCCTTCCCCTACAGATTTATACGCTCTCCATGTCATTCTACTTTGATCCATTCTCTCTAAATGACCAAACCACCTCAACAACCCTTCTTCAGCCCTCTGACTAATACTTTTATTAACTCCACACCTTCTCCTAATTTCCACACTTCGAATTCTCTGCATAATATTTACACACATTGCTCTTAGAGAGGACATCTCCATGATTTTTAAAGCGGTGGACGGGTAAGCCAGCGGAAGTCCTTGGTCAGATGACCAAGAGCTCCAGCTGTAGGTCATCATATAAGGCCCGCGTCAGGAAACACTTGTCCTGTTTCCTGACAAACCTGCCTACACGGAGAAGTAATCCTTTAGTCACTAAACGAGGTATGAGAGTTAGCACCGGTAAACCAGAGAATAATTAACAACGGGTACGCACATAGTTTTACCATAAACCTTAACACTGACACCGAAAATGGGTTTAAGATGATGTGATCGAAGTATCAGAAATGGCATGTTCTCTAACGTGTACCGGTGTTGGTTCACGGGTACAAGGCACTGGTAAATCTACTGTTGTTTATTTACTGGTTATTCACCCAGTACTGCGACGCCAACGTCTGCTTCATCGCTGAACGTAGGAGTTCGAACCCATGGCATGTGACTACTAAAGTTCACGGGCTAGTGTTACCTGGCCTAGCGGTTAACGTACTGGCCTGTGAGCTTAGAACTCACTCGCCATGGGTTCAAAAAGCCGTCCTTTCCGTGTTTGTTTACAGTTGTGTTATTGCAATTTCGTGAGTACTGATCTTACTCTCTAAGAAAGAACCGCTTGAGGAAACGCTCCCCTATTTCCCGACGAAGAATGAGACACCACCTCAGAACCCAGTTGTGAGCCTTCAAACATTTTCCTTCCAACCTGTCTGCCACCATCCCTACTCCTCTTGTAAATCCTTCTGCACCAGAAGCACTCTTAAGAACCTCTTTCTCGAGCACTGCTCGGCGTTCGCTGCCTCGCTAATATCAACGAAAAGCCATAAGGGCGTTGATTCGGCAGTGAATCCTTGCTAGAGACTTGTAGTAACCGCCTGCCATCAGAGGTCAGGTTTGATAGCGACCTCCGAGCTATTCTTCTCTGGGTTCATTGGTGCCCTCCATGCTAGCCTCCAGAATCATTGGCGAACTCCATACTAGCCTCCAAGTTCAGTGACGAACTCCAAGTTAGCCTCCTCCAGGGTTCATTGGCGAGGTCCTTGTTATACTCAGGGTTCATCGGTGAAATCCTTGCTGTCGTCACTGTTCTCATGATCGCTGACCATAGTGCCACCATTTTCAGAAATAAATCTGACTCCAGAGTGCGCTACCGGCCTTGGCCCAGTACGCTATAAAAATTCCGGTAGATGTTGACACTTCCACTCCAAGCACAAAGAGAGGCAGGATTCTGTTTGTGTCCGGGTGCGCTGGGCTCCCGGTGAATGAACCAGCAGATGCTAACCATACTTAACAGTAGTTCCAGGATCATGACTTCCACCTCCCCTTCCCCTCTGCAGCACAGTATCATAACGAAGGTTGTTGTATCAGACATTCTCTGTAATTGACATTCGTAGCTGTGTCAGTTCAAAAACGGGTTAGGTTCTTTAAGTACGATAGTCGGATGAGCAGTAGAAAGAAACAAGAAGTTAGGCAGGCAGGACCTGGGTCTTCCACCTCCCTTCACAACAACTATCATTACAAATTATTATCTGAAGATATTTGGATTGATCATTGACGCCTCTTCCATGGGCGCCTCCGTGTGGGCGGGGGAGCTGTGCCCCCTCTTTGTGCAGCTTACAGTGTGCCGCTAACATACATTAATCACCCGCCCACGGCTTGTGTTCTTTGCTTATTCTCCATTTATAGTTACTGGGGCGCCAGTAACAATCTTACATTAACTGGGTATTTCCTTTTTCTTTCCACCTATTCGATATTTTAACATTATATAAATATTTCTTGCATTCCTGGATGTATGTTTGTGTGAATGATTTTTAATTGGGCAGAGAAAGGAGGGGAGACGGGGAGAGGAAGGGGAAGTAAAATGGGGAATGAAGGAGAGGGTGGTGGGGGATGGGATGGTAGAGAGTATGTGTATGGGAAGGAGAGAGGAGTGTACAGGGCAGAAGGATGAGAGGAAGGAAAGTGTGTGTTGTGTGTGTGTGTGTGTGTGTGTGTGTGTGTGTGTGTGTGTGTGGTTGTGTGTGTGTGTGTGTTGTGTGTGGTCGTGTGTGGTATGTGTGTGTGTGTGTGTTGTGTCTGTGTGTGTTGTGTGTATTGTTGTGTGTATGTGTGTGTGTGTGTGTATTTGTATGTGTGTAAAGTGTGTGTGTGTGTGTGTGTAAATGTTAACTATTTACATTGCCTAGAGCACAGAGTGACCTTGGGGTCCCGGAGCTGTGCTAATATTACAACACCTCTCCTTTCCTCTCTCCATCGCCAGGTCACCCGTGCACAACACACAGCCAGATATATCAGAATGCTCACTCCGCTTGCAATGAGCATTTTCACCCGGCTGTGCAAGCCTGTTGTGGAACAACCTACCCACACCATGTGGCAGCCTGTTACGGCCAGACCCCTACGTCAACCCTACCTTCTCCGGGGCACCCCCACAACCCCACAGGTACCTTTAAACCCAGTAACCCCCATGATCCTTATCTGACACCCATCCCCACAATTGACACAGCCTTCAGCAAACACCCCCATTACTCGACACCGTGGGGTGGATAGTCAAATTAGGGGAGAGTCCTTCCCTTGAACCCCCCAAGCTTATGCATGTTTCTTGCATTCGTCAGGTTAAAACAACACGTGACATGGGACTTTATTAAATTACCAGTTCAGAGGTGTCCCTGGTTAGTGATGGGGGTCACGACAGTTCAGTGGTGTCCCTGGTCCGTGTTGAGGGTCACGACAGTTCTGTGGTGTCCCTGGTCCGTGATGAGGGTCACGGCAGTTCAGTGATGTCCCTGGTCCGTGTTGATGGTCACGACAGATGACTTCTGGCTAACAGCTCAGGCTCAACAGTGTTTTTAGTCTAACCGTCTTGAGAAAAAATCCGACATGTGTGTATCACGAGATGACCTGTTTAGCACTGTGGGTTCTATTGTCGGGGAGACGGCGAGACCAGGTTTGAGGGCACACGGAGATACATATTTTTTAAACTTTCGGTACACAGATACTATTTACGTCCAGCAGATGCTGTAAGTTTGCTTTTAACGGTAGGCCGCGCAGTAGCGGCTACCAGCTTCCGGTGCTGGACTTGTGGAGTAATATCGTAGGTCAGTGTTCGAGCAGGCCACACTGTGGCCTTCCTTATCAGTTATCCCCCTCCCTCCTTGCCATGGTAAACTTCCTTGAGGACCCGTTTACACATCCTCGCCAACTCCTGCTACGAGGAGGATGATGCTTCGCTACGCTCAACCTTCCAGTTGAATCCCATCTTTCCTGCCCTTCCTTCACAGCTCCCGTACCCCTGCCCGTCATTACCACCACCACCGTCATCACCAATCACCACCACCAACGTCGTCACCACCAACGTCAACACCACCACCACCGTCATCACCACCACCAAAACCGTCATCACCACCACCACCACCACCACCACCATCGCCATCATCACCACCGTCACCACCACCGTCATCACCACCACCACCGCCATCACCACCACCAACGTCATCACCACCACCAACGTCATCACCATCACCACCACCGTCATCACCACCACCACCACGATTCCTTAAGTAGCATTTATCTACAGGTTCCACCACTGTGGTGGGAGGCAGGAAACATACAGAGATGTGTCTCTCAAGAGGTTGCTGCTGACCCCTCCTTCAACGATTCGCAAATAACCAGCACACCGAAAATCAAACCCCTGGACCTCCAACACACCGGAAATCAACCCCCTGGACCTCCAGCACACCGAAAATCAAACTCCTGGACCTCCAGCACACCGGAAATCAAACCCCTGGACCTCCAGCACACCGGAAATCAAACCCCTGGACCTCCAGCACACCGGAAATTAAATCGCTGGACCTCCAGCACACCAGAAATCAAACCCCTGGACCTCCAGCACACCGGAAATCAAACCCCTGGACCTCCAGCACACCGGAAACCAAACCCCTGGATCTCCAGCACACTGGAAATCAAACCCCTGGACCTCCAGCACACTGGAAATCAAACCCCTGGACCTCCAGCACACTGGAAATCAAACCCCTGGACCTCCAGCACACTGGAAATCAAACCCTGGACCTCCAGCACACTGGAAATCAAACCCCTGAACCTCCAGCACACCGGAAATCAAACCCCTGGACCTCCAGCACACCGGAAATCAAACCCCTGGACCTCCAGCACACTGGAAATCAAACCCCTGGACCTCCAGCACACTGGAAATCAAACCCCTGGACCTCCAGCACACTGGAAATCAAACCCTGGACCTCCAGCACACTGAAATCAAACCCCTGACCTCCACACACTGGAAATCAAACCCCTGGACCTCCAGCACACTGAGAATCAAACCCTGGACCTCCAGCACACTGGAAATCAAACCCCTGACCTCCAGCACACTGGAAATCAAACCCTGGACCTCCAGCACACCTGGAAGATCAAACCCCTGGACCTCAGACACTGGAAATCAAACCCCTGGACCTCCAGCACACTGGAAATCAAACCCCTGGACCTCCAGCACACTGGAAATCAAACGCCTGGACCTCCAGCACACTAGAAATCAAACCCCCTGGACCTCCAGCACACTGGAAATCAAACCCCTGGACCTCCAGCACACTGGATCAAAACCCCTGGACCTCCAAGCACACTGGAAATCAAACCCCTGGACCTCCAGCACCCTGGAAATCAAACACCTGGACCTCCAACACACTGGAAATCAAACCCCTGGACCTCCAGCACCCTGGAAATCAAACCCCTGGATCTCCAGCACACTGGGAATCAAACCCCTGGACCTCCAGCACACTGGAATCAAACCCCTGGACCTCCAGCACACTGGAGATCAAACCCTGGACCTCCAGCACATTGAAGATCAAACCCCTGGACCTCCAGCACACTGGAGATCAAACCCCTGGACCTCCAGCACACTGGTGATCAAACCCCTGGACCTCCAGCACACTGGGAATCAAACCTGGACTCCAGACCCTAATCGAAACATGGACTTCACACCTGAGATCAAACCCCTGGACCTCAACAGCCACTTGTATCAAACCCCTGGACCTCCACACACTGGAGATCAAAACCCCTGGACCCCCAGCACACTGGGAATCAAACCTGGACTCTCCAGGGACACTGGTGATCAAACCCCTGGACCTCCAGCACACTGGAGATCAAACCCTTGGACCATTATCAAGTCACTGCTCCATGGATTAGATTAGGAAAATCTCACAGCCGCTTATCTCACGTGAGGATAGCAATGGAGTCGTTCTCCCTCTACATCATATCCAGAACCTGGGATGCTGGAGTGAGTTTACGAGCCTCTCTGTAATAATATTGGTAGAATTTCCCATAATATGTTAGGTAAAAGGACACAAGTGTAACTAATGTGACATTGTGGCAACGTTTCGCTCTCCAGGAGTTTAGTCTGTAACGGCTTGACAAAACTCCTAGAGAGCGAAACGTTGCCATAATAAAATGTCACATTAGTTACACCTGTGTCCTTTCAACTAATATATCGTCACGATGTGTCAGTTATAACATCAATGAAGGCGAGGCTGAAGCAACGTGGAAGTCTTACAAGTGTCAATGGTGGCTAGTATGTGAAGTATGGTGGCTAGTATGTGAAGTATGGTGGCTAGTATGTGAAGTATGGTGGCTAGTATGTGAAGTATGGTGGCCAGTGTGTGGTGTCACGACTTAATCTTCACCGTAACAATAGGAGCATAATTAACTCTCCAGTTTTTAAGTTAATTTTATTTATTACCAATCATTTAGTTTTATTGGTACCTGATTAGTGAATTAAAATAACCATTTACAATTATAAATAAAATAATACTATGCAACCTGGAACCTAATCTTACGTTCAAATTCTTATTAACAGAGTATGATGCAATAATTTCCATGCGTAGTTAAAATAGGAATTGATAATCCACTAATCCCACCATTCATGGTTTTTAGTAAGGTCTGGGGTGACAAAATAGTTATCTTTAAGTGAGATGAATTACCAGACTTAGGAAACTAGTGGCAAAGGCAAGACAATGGACTTGGTTTAAAGTTCTAGATTGAGCTAAGAACTCTGGGTTGAGGACCCGTACCGAGTCAGAGCTAGGAGCTGACTCACTTGCTCAAATACTCCATAGTCCGACTTCAGCTCGGTCAGAAGGCGACGCGTGGCGTCAATTCTGGAACCCATTCGGTCCCTACAGTAGTGGTTACACATTTGTAATACATATTATAATACAATAATAATATAATACAATATAATATAATACAATATAATATAATACAATATAATATAATACAATAAGAGGTTGGCAAGCACAGCACTGAGCGGGCTGCCCATTGCCATCCCAAAGCATTGTTTGTAACAGTTGTCCTGATACTTGAAGAAGTTGAAATTAACACACAGTTCCACTAGATTGATGAAATCTAGAAGAGGTAAAGGGAGGTCGTGGTTTTCAGTGAGCCTCTGTCTCAGAATGTTGATTGCAGCGTCAGTAGGAACGTTGAATGTCCAACCTGAATGTCAAAAACAAAAGCATGGCTTCCTTCGATGTCACAGCCCTCTTCACCAACGTTCCTACTGACGCTGCAATCAACATTCTGAGACAGAGGCTCACTGAAAACCACGACCTCCCTTTACCTCTTCTAGATTTCATCAATCTAGTGGAACTGTGTGTTAATTTCAACTTCTTCAAGTATCAGGACAACTGTTACAAACAATGCTTTGGGATGGCAATGGACAGCCCGCTCAGTGCTGTGCTTGCCAACCTCTTCATGGAAAACTTGGAGACAGAGAAATTCAGCACCCTCATTCCCAACACCGTTACCTGGCTAAGATACGTTGATGATATATTGGTTTTCTATCCGAGACGTCTCAATATCCAGGCCCTTCTCAACAAGATCAATGCAGTTGAACCATCAATAAAGTTTACACTTGAACTCGAAAATGATGGCAAACTTCCTTTCCTCGACGTTTCTACTGTGCAGATCTCCCGACAGTGACAAACTTCTCTTCAAAGTGTATAGAAAACCTACCAACAAGGACGATCTTATACATTTTTATTCACACCAAGACACCCGCACTAAGAGAGAGCTCTTCGCATCTCCAGCCCTTGTTTTCTAGAAGAAGAATGCACTTACATAACACAAGCCTTTACACGTCTTCAGTTCCCATCTTTCTTCATCCGAGATTGCAGACTCAAGGCACAAGCTATCCTCAACAAACCGCCCATGGAACAGCCCCCTAAACAGTTCATAGTACTCCCATGTGGCGATGTTGCCACGAATACTCGCCGGGCACTTGCTATGAGTAACATCGACGTTTCCACCATAAACACATCATCTATCAAAAACCTCACTACGAAACGCAGCCCCACACCTCTAACTTCTACAGCAGGCGTCTACACTATCCCCTGTGGGTTCTGTCCCAAGAAATATGTAGGCGAGACAGGCAGAGATCTT